TCCCTGTGCCAAATTTGTACAAAAAAAAAAAAAAAAATTAAAACGAAGACATTATTACTTTCGAAAAGGTGGACTTCACTGTACCACTATTCGATCGTAGATTCCCACCAAACAAGAATAATTGACGACATAATGAGATTTTGGCTTAATATTAAAAAAAAAAAAAAAAAAAAATTTGAAACGAGAGCGAATATAGAGTGTAGAATCTCGTTATTCGTTTTGCGTTGTGTATAATCACATTTTGTTTCGCGAAGCTGAAATAATTTAAAACAGAAAGAGAAAGAGAGAGAGAGAGAGAGAGAGAGAGAGAGAGAGAGAGTGCGATTTATGGTGAATTTTATTGCACCTCGTTAACTGGAATTTAAATCGCTGGGTTTCGCGGTTTGGTCGGAGAGCAAAACAGCTCTAGACTCGAGATTTCTATCAAACGATAGCATCGTCGTACGGTTGATGGAAAATCATACAACTCCCACGCTAAAACGTGATGAAAAAAAAAAAAAAAAAAAAAAAAAAAATAGTTTACAAAAGTTATATGATGGTAAAAATAAAAAATGCATGACGATTTTGTCCGCACAGGTTGTGTATTCAGTAAAACGGTGTGCAAGCCGGATATCGAAGTCTGCTACGACGGTAAGAATCCATCGAAAAAAGAGAGAAAAAAAACTTTGCCCTCGCTTGGAACATAATTGAACGATCAATACCCTTCTTACTTTCAGACAACGCGTTCGGAAGATGCTTGAGGCTCGACGAGGACCTGTCGGAGAAAGACTCGTACCAGTCAGTATACCATATACATATATCATCCTCTCTCTTTTATTACCATATGTATAATACACTTTTGCACTTATTGTCAAAGATCCAAACCACATCCTTACCAACATATACACAGACATGGCAAAATAAGCAAAGCCACACAAAGCTCATCCATCACACACGACACTCGGGTCAATCTCTCTCGCGTGCCTGTATGGCATTCCACGCAACCCAATCACCCGCACGAGAGAGCTTGCGGATATTGCGCCCCACATGCTTATATAACATCATCATCATCATCATCACCATTAATACGTTAGCATACATGCACGTTATGATTAACAGATACGAGATGACACCGGAGGAGCTGGACCTGCTTCGTGTGGAGCTCGAGAGGCTCGAGTACCTCGGCTACAAGTGGTCCGACGATTACACCCAGTGCGCCATGCAGGTGCTCCTCGACGACGTGCGTTACAGGTATGGATATAATTCATCACCGAGACGATTGTTGGCTTGAGTCGATCCGCTCTTGGGATTTATGTTATACATGTGTATATTGTGTTGTGCTCTGGGCTTTCAGGACCAACAGCGACGTCGAGGAGTTGTGCAGTGACCTCAGGCTGCGAGGCGACGTTCCGTACGACGAGGAAAACCAGCTCGTCGACATCAGCGACAACACCGGCGGTCTAACGGTGATGATTGCGGCTTTTATCCAACCCTTGCTTTGCAATCCCTGTACCTTTTCTGCCGCGATATTTCTTAAAATTGGCACCTGTTTCTTTTTTTCCCCTTCTTCCAAATAATAAATAAAAGGTTTTGCTGTATCTTTGACAAAGAGTCAAACAACGAGACGTAGTGAGAGTAGAGAGAGAGGCGCGCCACAATACATTCCTGTTTGTACAGGTCGAGGAGCCACAGGCGGTGGTAAAGTTCACCCCGAGTCGGATGGAACCGCACGGGGACTACGCCGATGAGTTTTACTACCCGTCGGAAGTCGCGCAGCGAATGGCCGAGGAGAGGAGGCGAAAAGAGGCGGCAGTGGGCTACGACGATTACGACAAGCCGGCATCGGGCTACTTTGGCAAATTCAACGCGCCTGGTGATCCCGTGGCCGCAGGTAGGTGTGGGTTAATTGGGAGGAAATGGGGCTTGACTTGATTGACAATAACTCGAGTCGACGTTGAAGCGGCCTACCGGCGAGACTCGAGGTCCTTGAGGAAGCCGAGCCTGGGCCAAATGGTGCAAGCCGAGGTCTACTCGAAGGAGAACTACCCGATCCCCCGGGAGTACGTGGACGCGCTGCGCGACTACCTGGAGACCAGGACCACGAGCGGTGACGGAGAACCGGACGACCTGGAGTTCATACCAGTGAACGACAAGAAGCCCCTCTCGAGCCTAAATAACGACGACGACGACGATGGAGAGGAGGAGGAGAACTACGAGAAGGCCTTCTCCAGGAAGTACAAGCAACCCAGTGACTTTCTCGGTCCCAGAGCCGACACGAGCGATCAGGACGACGATGACGAGGAGGAGGAGGAGGAGGACGACGTCAAGGATTACGACGAAGGCCATGTCGGCGAGCCGGTGGGTTATTCCAAGCCGTTGGGGAGCGGGCGACGGCAGCAATCGAGTAAGTGTTTGTTTGGGCTATGCGTATCGATTTCACACTCGTGACCTTTTGTTTTTCGGCACTCCGCGTGTGGAAATAATCGATCGAGCCCCTGTGATGTAAATGGCTTTTTTTCACGCTGAATGACGATGGGGTGCGCAACGGGATAGATAACGAGTCCACTCGTGATTCTCCCCCCACCCCTTTTTCTTGTCCCTTTTATCGATCGACCGGGAATTTAACATCGTTAGGGTGTAAGACACGAGAAAACTACATAGCCATTGAATTCATTTTCAATTTTTCGAGCTCGAATGGATTTTTAAATGAATCAGCGATTGATGACGTTGGAGCGCCAACGTAGCCTTTACAGATGGGAAAGGACGCGCGCGCGCGCTCTGACGTCGATCCTTTTTCCTGTAACTCGTAAGTGATTTTTAAAACTGATGGTATGTACTCGTGTGACCGGGTACGAATCAATTGTCGACAGAAGACTACGCAGATTTTTCCTTCGAGGACTTTTTGTGGGGCCGCGACTCGAAAGGTTTCAAGAGGAGGGAGCGCCTGGACGTGAAGAAACCGGGTCCACTTTTCTCGACCAACAACTTTGCATTCAAAACTCAGGCCCCACCAAGTGAGTTTCAATCTGTTTTTCCGCCATTATACACCATATGGTACTATATACACCAACTATTATTGATTATAGCTTCCCATCTCGAGAGCAACGACGCCGGCGACGAGGGTCAAGATGTTGTGAGTTAAATTGGGTTTTAATCATCATATTCGATTGGTGGGGCGAAAAAAAAAAAGAAAAAAGGAAAAATGTTTTGAATTACAGAATCAAGTGATGTACTCGCCGGTGAAAAAGGAGGTAAAGGACAAACTGGAAAGTTCGATATCGACGTCCTACGAGAACGTGGATCTGGACCACGTGTATGTACAATTCAAGCAGGACATCAATTCCTGGCCCGAGGGAAACAAAATTGTCCAATCGGTTAGCTCGCGAAACCCATCACACCTATATAATATATTACGTTGATATAATGCATGTATATACACGTTTTCGTTGCAGGTGGGCGAGCTCATCGGGTTGAAGCCGAGCGAATTGAACGGGATACGCGTGGGCCGAGCCGAGGTGACGTTCAAAGTGTCCAAGAACAGCAAAGGCTACAACGCCACGGACGTTGTTCGCATGATCGGTAAGCCAGCGCGTCAAAGTCACGCGAATAATTCAAGCTCTCACATACATATCCACCTTTTGTGTTTGCAACAGATGGCATCCGAGGCGATTTGAAGAAACAACTCCAGGTGGACGTGATCCGTGCGGGCATCGGTGACAAGGTAATGTTTAACACTTAAAAGATCCACCCTGACATTTTTGTTGCACAGCAGTAGATCCATTATACTCAGGCCCTTGCAGGTCTAATATGTATCTTGAAAAAACGTAATTAATTACATGCTTTGCCCCTTGCCAATTGCACACACGCGCGCGGGCACAGACAAAGCTGCCGGCAATGCTGGACGTGTCGAGCGCGAGGCCCGAGGTGGCTCCCAGCATGTTCGGCGCCTTGGTTGGGGCCAGTGTGGCAGCCGCGTGCGCCGCGGCCGTGGTGATACTGTTCATAGCGTGGCGGCACGCCAAGTCGCGGGCCAAGCTGGCCGGGCTGCGCACTCCAGATCCCGAGGCGTCCAAGGACTACCAGGAGCTGTGCAGGGCTCGGATGGCTGCCAAACAGCCGGACAAGCCGAGTGACTCACCCAAGGGCTTCGACTTTGGCCGGCTCATCGAGTCCGGTAGGAGCGACAGCCGCTCGAGCACCTCCTCGTGGAGCGAGGAGCCACCCACCACCAACATCGACGTTGCCACGGGCCATCTCGTGCTCGTTAGTATTCGTTTGATGACGTTGGATATATATGTATATTTTTTTTTTTCATATATTTTTCTAACTTGGTGCGATTGGGGTTTAGAGCTACATGGAGGAGCACCTGAAGAACCAGGAGAGGCTGGACGAGGAGTGGGCGGCGCTTGTCGCGTACGAGCCCGAGCCGTGTTCGACGGCTGTGGCCGAAGGCAACGCGGATCGCAACAGGGTGGGTGCGGCGCTTCCCTACGACCACTCCAGGGTCGTGCTTAACGATTTGGCGAACCTCAAGAGCTCCGACTACATCAACGCTTCGACCATCGTAAGTTTACGAGCGATCGCGTCGTAAATTACTAATTTTTCTCGTTGAACGTTATGTTCCAACTGATGAAAAGTGGAATGTTCGAGTGTACGCGATGTTTCGAATCATATTGAGAATCTGGCATCTCGTGGAAAGTAACAAAAAAACAAAAAAAAAAAAAAAAACAAAAAAACAAAAAAACAAAAAAAAAGAAAATCGCAATGAAACATTATTAGACGAGTTTGTTGAAATAAAGTATAACT